GCTGTCTTAGCCTGCGTTGAAGTCTTCAGGAGCGGTGGCTGGTGGGGTAAAACGTCAAAAACGCTCTTACTAAGCAAATTAATTGAACTTCCTGTATCCAACAAAAGTGAACAATTAACCCCTCCAACTACACCGTCAAAAGTCATGTCGTTCCTCAGAGGTACGACTCTATCGGGAACTACCGAGGCAGAGCCAGACTCGCCGCCGGAGCGCTGCTCGGGAGCGGCGCGCGACTGAGCGCGGTCAGCTGACTGGCCGGTGCGGGCGGCGGAACCGCCTGAGGCACACCCGGCGTCCCTCTGGCCTGCTGTTGAGCGGGTCCTACCGTCGGGACGGTGGCGGGGACCCACTGGGAGTTTCCCGACTCAATCTGACACACTGAGGACAGATGACCCTTGCCACCACAGCGGTAACACACCGAGTTCTTATGGCGACAATCCCGTCTGACGTGTCCCTTCCTCCCACAACAAAAGCACGTCCTATCCTGTCCCATCGGTCTACTGGGACGCTGCAGGCGAGCTAGCTGTCCCTCGAGCTCCTTTACTCTGTCGCGGAGAGCCTCTGTCTCCGAGGAGACCTGTCTCACTGGTGCAGCCTGGGCACCAGCAAGTCGAGCCGCACAGCACATGTTGCGAATCGACACGACTGCAGCCTCAAAAGTAGTGACACCGTCTGAGACGAGCCTCGATTGGAAAGTCATCGGGAGTGACTGCAGAAAGTAATTGAACAAAAGTCCCTCCTCGTCACTATCGGGGAATGCGGCTGAGACTAAGCCCCTGAGGCGAATCACAAAGGAGTCTAGGTCAGCATTCTGATCAAACTTCACAGCCCTCAGCTGGACCTGGGCCTCGACGACACCACGAGAGGGGAAAGCCTTACGAAGGCCGATGAAGGCAGCTTTGACAGTTTTACGTGACTCTTCCGGCAAACAATTGTACGCGTTCCTAGCTACCCCGGAAAGACACAACGGCAAAAGTGAAGCTTGTTTGGTTGCATCAAAACCTTGCAAGAGTGAAAACGTTTCAAAATCCTGAATGAATCTCGTAATCGAGCCAGAAGGGCCAGAAAAAGTAGGCAAACCAACTGAAGCTGCGAAAGGCTGAGAGGTAGCCATGATCAAATGTAAGACGGAACAAAAGGAAAGAAGGATGCACAATTAGCGACACTGCGTATCAACAAACACCTTTCTGAGTACGAATCAGTAAAACATAGTACCTAACTAAATGGCAAGGCGGACAGCGATCGGAATTTTAACAATATGAAACAGGTTACCCAAGCATCAATTAAACGTAACGGCTACAGTCACACTCACGAATAAAAAAAAATCAGTCTACGTAACACTCACGGTATCGTTGCAGTCCTCATTCAGTCACCTGATGTGTAGCACACACTCAGCTCGGCGTCGTGCGGGGTCCTTGGCAGTCTGCCAGCCGCACGGTGTCACGGCCGGTCACGGCCAGCGGCTCCTGGCACTCCGCCAGCTCCGGCCCGCTCGGTCGCGGCGAGTCGGCCCCCGGAGGGTAGGCTGTGCCGCTGGGCGCCGACAGCGGACGGTCCTCGGCGGGCGGCGAACAGTGTCAGCAGCAGCCGCGGCTGCGGCTGCGGCTGCGTCCTCGGCTGCGGATGGCGACAGGGTGGCTCAGGGCCACGCTGGTAGCACCACGTCGACGGTATCAGTGGCTCAGCAGGCCACGGAGCGCTGGAACTCAGCGCAGGCCAGCGAAGCTGAGAGCCAGCCCACGGCGACGCAGATGAAGCAGGCCATCGGAAGTCGCCACGGCTCGAGTCTGAGTCGACGGTCCAGTCGCTTCGCCCAGGCGTGTGGCTCGAAGAGACCAGTAGCTGCCATAGTTGCAGGCGCTGTCGGCTGTCTTCAACAGATCCCACCGCTGCCACCAAATGTAAGCGTGGGCCGGGGCGACGGCGTCGGCGTCGGCTCTCGAGCACGCGGGCTAACACAGCAGTCGGTCATCTTCTAATTTATTACAACCATAGTCTGGCCAACAAAGCCCGCGTCCTTCAAACCGCGTCCTTCAAACCGCGTCCTTCAAACCGCGTCCTGTAAAGCGGCCCAAGTAACGTTTAAACATAATTTGAACGTTTTATGACACAGCACACGCTATAATAAATTAGACAAAATTAATTAGACAGTACTAAAGCAAACAAAGGGTATCGGTAAAATCAAAAAAATCAACAACTCAGCGCTTACCGTTCGAGATCAGACGCACTCAATCACCATGTGCACTTCACAGCGGTCGGCACGGAAATAGCCCACCTGCGCGGACACGCCCCGACCCCCGGCCGGCGCAGGGCCGGACGGCACGCGATTGGTCGGCGCCGGGCGGTCACGTGACAGGTCGCGCAGGACGTCACATCCGCCGGACAAAAGGAAAGCGACAACTAAATAATAATAATGCGTTAAACAGTGCACCACTTACAATAGTTCGTTCAATGCGTCTTGACGAGAGGAACACGGTACTGCTTAAAGTAAGCTAGTGCAAGTTTCGAGTCAAAAGGTATTGAATAAAAACTTTGCGCTAAAAATGTCTATTTTTGGCAGCTTTTGCCCCCAGCAGGTTAAACCCTTGACCTTAGGTCAAAACTGACGGACAGAAAGCACGTTAAAAAGCTATCGAATGCGCTTTTCCGCGGCGCTGTATCTCTATGCGTTCCTGAGCTTTGAGTCGGTTTGTCGAAAATTATCGAAGTTTGATCTGGAAAGCGGCGAAATTTTACCTTCGGCGACCTCTGGTGATCTGACCTTAAAAATAACCGAAGTAATTTCTGCATTATTTTTGACGCCCTTTTGAACGCCGCTTACGGCGTGTTGCTGAGTGGCCTAGGAGCCGAGTTAGAATTGTTCAAACAACCCTCAGCAAGGCGTGGAATTCCAGGACCCCAAGCTGGGAGCGGGTTAACTGCATGGTGGATATTGCGATCGACGGATTACAAGGATCGTGCCTCGTCCGTTATTGCAGGCGAGACCACCCGGCAAAACGCATCACTTTCTGTAAACGTTCCCCGCCCCTAAGACACATTCCAGGGAGGCGTGCGTGTGTGGCGAGAGGGTGACGGGAACGTGCGAACGTGTGAAAGGAGGAGGATGCCGAGTCAGCGCAGCATCGCAGAGAAAAGGCAGCCGCGTGAGCAGTCGAGATGGCACATCAGCCAGTCACGAGCCGTAATTTAATGGTTGATGGGAGATAAAACGTCGATGTTGACAATAAGTTTGCACGGCCACTCAGGAACGAAAGTGTGGGGACGAGAGAGCTGACAGTCAGATTGGGGCAATCGTGTTCTTTTGATGAATGGCTAGAAATGAATGGTTTATCAGGAGTGATCACGACCGAAAAGGGCTTCCCATTTAGAACAGGAAGAAACCAACAATTACACGCATCCTTAGACTATCCAAAACGCGACTAACCAGCAATGCTAAATATAACCGTTTAGATTTAGCCTTTGTAAGTGTCCGCCACAGCCGGCGAAGAATCGCAGACTCTCTGGGAACCATTTAAGTACAACCATTTAAGAAGCTGTCTCCCAATGGCTCCATGCAGCTCTCCTCACTCTGACCTAGTTCCAGTAGTGTCCTCCGACGCACACGGCTATAGCGTGCGAGTGGTGCATCGTTTTTCACAGCCGAGGAGTCGGCCAAACGCGGGATAGTCCGCGGTAATCACACTCTAAACGGACTGCTGACAACACAAACAACACACCAAAGAATAGAAAAGCACACAAACGGTCCATTTGGTCTAAACGAGCTCTTTCACCACTTGGTCCCCGAGATATCGTTATCTTCAGTGTGGGAAGTGTGGGAATTAAGTATAGGGTTGTTAGCCCCAAGGTGATGACGGTCGCAGTATAATGGGATCAGGCTGAAACCGAGCACCGACCACGCAGGGTCAACGGCTAGCGTCATTGCTTTGAATGCACAACAAATACTGTGAAACTGTTAATTGAAGAAATCGCAATTAAACAGTTTTCAATCAAAACGGTACTAAGAAATTTACAAAATTGTCAATAGTCTGGTGAATATAGGTACACGTAAATTACAGGCATATGATACCAGAATTTTGGGGGCGATGAGGAAAAGTATGAAAATTGACTCTGCGCGCAATAGGAGAGGTTCGCAGCTTGACTTGTACGGACCTCCTACGAGTACAAACAAAGCGCCCATCCGGCCGACCCGCCGAGTGTCGTCCCCCACTCAGTGTTCCGATCCATGAGCACGGCGTTTAACCGCCGTCCTCGGTGTCGGGCCGGGGTAAACACCAACAGCAGCCCGCCAGGGTGACCGGGCCGTGTCGGAGCGCGCTAACCACCCTCTGATAATGTCACCGGACCGCAGCGGGCCCACGGCCGTCTGTGGACCTCCGCCGCCGGCTCAGACAGAGGGGTCACGGGCCGGCAACGGCGGCCCCGCTGCCCGATCGGCCAGAACGACGGGAGATGGGCCCCCGACCGCACATCGCCGCCTCCCGCAGCAATTATAGCCGTGACGGCAAAGACGCATACAGCTGCAATACCGCCGCTGCGGTCCAGAAGTGAGCGCAATACTCGTTTACCATTCAGATGCGTACTGCATCAGTGAACGGCAGGCAGTCAGCGTGGTTTTACGGTGAATAGAGAACCATGAGCCGCCCCGAGTCAATAGCTGCCATCGAGTGATGGTGACAATATATCGGTGATCAAGAGAAATGCACGTATGACGATTTCACTGTTACTCTGTTCTGTTGATTTCACTGTTCTCCAGTGAGTCCAGACCTATGTTTCTCCCACTCTAAAAAAAAAAAATAAAGAAAAAACGAGGCGAGTGGTACTGGGAGCAAACCATGCCCGAAAGGAGGCCCAATCTACCGCCAAAAATCGGAATGAAAACTTGTGCAGGCATGAAAAACACAAAGAACAGTGCTAATCCTACTTCCATATGCCCGTTCGATGCCACCGTTGACTTATTTCTGTCTATCAGCAGTGTTGACGTTTATCTGTCCGTCTTTCAGCGCTGGTGTCGGCGCTGTCCACCGCTCGCGGGGACACGCTGCACGCGGACGCGGTGTACCATCTGCACCTGACCGGAGGGAGGCGGCCAGAGGTGGACAGTGTGCGCGTCTCCCGCCTGCCGCCGGCGCCGACAGGGCACAGAGGCCAGACGGCGGACGGGGGGCGGGCCCGACCGACCGCTGCCGGTAACAGCTCGCCCCCGGCAGCGGCCGGTCAGCAGGCGGCTCCACTTGCCGAGTACTCGGCGGGTCAAATGTACTTCACGCCCAGGATGCTGTATGTCGGTGATGACAGCACCGAGAGGACCGTCAGCCGCGGCTCCCGGTCCAGCCGGCGCTCTGACAGGGCTCGTCGGACCCGGGCCAGCTCCCGGAGACCCCGGACGGCCCGTCGGGACAGCCGCCAGGCCGGCTGGGGGCCGCCGGAGCTGCGCCGGCCTCCGTCCCCGCCTGCCGCCGACCCGGGATACAGTACGGCGGAGCGGTACGACCCGCAGTATGAGACCGAGTGTCCTCGCACTCCTCACGACCCAGACGGCGACTGCATCAAAGGCGAGGCGGGCACCGACTACCCGACCCTGGACACCATCCCGCGTACAGGCTTCTCGTGCCGCGGCCGACCAGCAGGGTACTACGCCGACGAGGAGACACGGTGTCAGGTGAGATGGGGGACGGGGTCAGGTGAAATGGGGACGAAGCCGGTGAGATGGGGCGGGGTCAGGTCAGTTGAGAGAGGAAGGGTTAGTGAGACAGCGACAATGTTCGATATTATGTGGCCAGCAGTGTAATCTCTGAGTCGGTCCGAAGTTAGCGCAATCTGAGATCATTCTATCTTCTCCCGGTGAAGTTTACGAGCTGTTTGGTCTTGGCCAGTAGGCTGAGTCTGGTAGTCTGAGGCCTCTAGTCTGAGGTCTGTTGGAGTCTGAGGTCGAGGTATGAGATGTGTTGGAGTCTGAGCCGACCTGCTCTGCCGAGACGGTCCGAGCGGAACGTGTTACACAACCGTCCCGGCCGGCGCGCACCGGGTGGCCGCCGTTACGTGACACCCGGCACGTGAGTGTGACGCGACGGCCGGCTGTCACGGCGGCCGTCACGTCACGGCGTCACGCGCGTCTCTGCGGCCCGGCGCACACACACGCACACAGTGGTGCCGCCGCTCAGCACGCACAAGCCGTTCGATGGCGTCAGGACGCTCTGCCGATACGTCCGTTTGAGAAAAAGCTGCACTAGTGGCCGTAGGCTTCGTCGAGATGGCCGGCGTTGGGCAATCTGCCCGCCGCCATGTGGACGCGTCTGGGGCGGGGACGGTGGACAGTGGACAGGGCCGGATCATCGCTCACTGAGGAGTTAATGGACCGGCCGGAAAATCGAGAGTGCCGGCGGCAGGAGCAGCGCTGCTGCCGACGGGTGGATGAGTCGGTAGTGAACCGGCTGGGGCGGAAAAAAATCCGACTTGGTCGCAACGGACAGTCTTCGGTTGCTATTCGGCCCATTGTGATTCCCTCTGCGACATGAAAGCTTTTCAGCTCTTGCCCTGTAACTATGTATATTTAGAACACCAGCACTTGGTGTATAGTACCACCAAACCATACTTCTAGAAGCTTATTCTCTTCCTCAAACCACAAAGCAGTCAGCGATCCACCGATCCTGTGTCGGTGTGTCTATGTGCTCCGCCAGATATGCCACTAACGAATCTGCCTCGGTGTTCTCCGCGATACCTTACATTACTGTCTGATTTTTTCCACATGTCTGACAATACCGTGTCTGTGGTTTCCACAGGTGTGGCACTACTGTTCGACCACCCACGTCCGGCAGTCGTTCCTGTGTACTCGCGGCACCGTGTTCAACCAGCTGCACCTCGTCTGCGACTGGTGGTACGCCGTCGAGTGCGGCCGGTCCGACTCCTTCCACTACGTCAACAACCGGCTGTACGGCGCCGCAGAGCGGGCAGAGGAGCCGTCAGACGACCTCGGACGGCAGGAATACAGTAGCTATACTGGGTACGGAGCGCGGCGGGCTAGATACCAGCGGCAGGGGCAGGAACAGGAGAGAATTGGAACGGACAGAGCGAGGGACGAGAATGGAGATAGGGAGGAGCGGGAACTACAAGCGAGAGAACGGGACGTCAGAGAACGGGCCGAGAGACAGCGAGATGAGAGAGGGGAGCTCCAGGATAGGGAGCGAGAGGCAAGAGAGCGAGAGGAAAGAGGACGAGACATAAAAGAGCGAGAAGAGAGGGGACGGGAGATAAGTGAACGAACTGCTGCAAGGGAGCGGGAGGCGAGAGAGCGAGAAACAAAAGAGCGAGAAGACAGAGAACAAGAAGCAAGAGTGCGAGCTGCAAGAGAGCGAGAGCAAAGAGAACTAGAGGCAAGAAAGCAAAAGGCAAGAGAGCGAGATATAAGAGAGCGAGAGGCAGCAAGAGAACGAGTGATAAGGGAAAGACAAGAGCGAGAACGAGCGGCGAGGGAAGAGGAGGAAAGAGCACGAGACATCAGAGAGCGAGAGGCAGCAAGAGAGCGACAGGAAAGGGAGCGAGTGATAAGGGAAGGAGAACAACGAGAACGGGCGGCGAGGGAACGCGAGGAGCGAGCACGGGCCGCACGGGTTCGAGTGGTGACCGACCAGTTGTCGGCTGACGCTGATCGGTCGCCGCGGCCAGCGGAGTCGGTCCCATCCCAGCCGACACGACCCGGCCGCCCTCGCTCTAACATACCGCCGCCAGCACACACCTCACGGCGGCGGCCGCTGTGGGCCGGCGGTCGGCGCCGCGGACGCTGGGTCGCCGTGCCCCGCACCTACACGGCAGCAGGGCACCTGGTGGGCACACCGCGACCGGTAGCGGTCAACAGTCCGACCCATAGACCAGCGCTTGTCAGCGGTCCGACCCTGCGGCCAGTGGCGGTCCCCAGCTCTACACCGAGACCTCACATCGCGCACCGCGGTACCGCTGCCCCGCCAAGACAGACGACCGGAGAACGTCCCTCCTCACAACGGTACAGCCCGTCCTCAGAGCCATACAAACCCACCCCGCGGCCGGGTAGGCCAGAGGCTCATGGTGACACAGCCCCGAGTCAGCATAGCAGCACCACCAGCAGACCTGACAGCGCCAACGCGCGAAGACCATATGAGCCGACGACCGCGGAGCCCGTCAGTGTTAGGCCGAATCCGTATGGAAGCGCGTCTGGCCCGTTTGGCAGTACATCCAGACCATACACCAGTACACCAAATCAGTTCAGCAGTGCATATAATCCGTACGAGAATACACCCAATCCATACGGCAGTACGGTCAGATCCCACGGCCTTAAACCGATTCCGTACAGTACTACCGCCAATTCATACGGCAGCACGCCCCGTCCTTACGGCAGCACTCCCCGACCTTACGGCAGCACGGCTCTGTCGCCCTACAGCGTATCATCGGTTAGAAACTATGTCGGCCAGCCATCCCCCGAGGCCCACCACCGAGCCCCCGTGGTGAGGAGACCCAGCACAGAGCTGGCACGGAACTATCGGGGACTGACGGGATCACCGGTCGAAGCTAGCGACTACCACGGTCCGCACGGAGATACACCACAGTCTGCTGCTCACCGACCTACTTACCCAGCCAGGACCTACCGAGGAATACCGGTGCAGCGACCAGAGAACGCCGTGCAGGCAACACATCCAAAGAAATACACCGCCAGATTCACCGAAAAACGCACCGGGAATCCAACGTTCACAGCGCATAAGTTCAGTAAACCAGCGGTTCTAGACGGTCCTAGTTCCCATTCAGTATCACAAGGCGTCAATTCATTTGAGACACCCCTTCCAACGAGTGCGCCAGCCCGACCCCATCAACACAGCTCTTCTGTGCAGACTTACAATCTCAACCCATCGCCGAGACCCTATAACATCAGTCCCTCTCCTTTCCCCTACGATCCAACCCCATCACCGCGTCCCTATAACCCCAGTCCTTCTCCTCTTCCTCATGACCCTACCCCATCATCCTATCCCTACGTGAGCTCCTCGCCTTTCCCTTATGAATCTAGCGCGTCACCTCGGCCCTACGCCTCAAACCACTCTCCCAGCCCGTATAGATCCGTCTCACCCGATCGTCCCTTCGATTTGATCCCTTCTTATCACCCCAGTCACTCGGCCCCAGCCACTCACCCCCACGACTCGAGTCCCATTTCTTCCTCGCATGACACCAGATCTCCAAAATATCCCCATGACACAGGCCCATCCCCAAGACCCCTTCATCGCCCAGACTACGAGAGACCCAGTCCTCTGCCGTCCCATCCCCACGGGCCGTCCACAGAGGCCCCAGCGACCGTCACTAGCACCGTCCCGCGGCCGGTGGAGCCGCTCCCAGCGCCACCTACAGAAGTGACCGATTCGCAGCTCGATCACACAGAGCCGATCTCTGAGGGGTACGAACGAGAGAAAGAGCGGCAGAAGGAGCACACTGCTGAGACTGAGGGATGGGAGAGGTACCCAGACGAGGTGCAGCGAGGCCAGAGTGACCACTCGTTATCCCCTGGCCAGCGGCACGGTCCAAGCGAGGCGCACATATCTCCCGGAACAGCGCCCGACGCAATCAGGCTGGCTCCTCACGGGGCAGACACAGGGGCAACCCATGACCCAGGCTTTGAGAGTAACGAGCCGCCATATAAGAGCAGTACTGAACCATTGATAAGCACAGCTGAGGAGGAAAGAACTGAGGTAGCATATTCCAGCAGGCAACGATCGCCTGACATTGAATCAAACCCATCCTCGATACGGCTGGCTGAGTACACATTACCTTCCAAAAGCCAGCACTCTGGCTCTCCCAAGGAGACGCGCCCAGCCCCACATCAGTCCGAGCCACCGGCGAACTCCCGGCCCATCGATCGACCTGTGGAAGTCTCCGTCGCTTCCACAGCAGCGCCGGGAAGTGCCTACTTTCCTGTTACGACCAGCGCGCCCTCTGCGCGGCCGGCCAGCTCCAGTCCGAAGTCGCCGCCGCCGGCCGTACCTCTGCGCAGGATCAAGGTGCGGAGACGGCTGAGGAAGGTTCGACGGAGACGGCCCAAGCTAGCAGGGAAGGGCGGAGAGCGGACTGAGTGTCCGAGTGGGCGAGTCACTCCTGAACAGCTCCCCGAGCGAGAGAGGACGTTCGAGAGACATTCAGAGCGAGACGAGAGAGACAGGGGTGAGACACCCGATAAATACACCCAGGCTCGGACGGAGAGGATGCGGACCAAACAGCAGGAGATAAAGCTACGTCAAATGAAGACCCAGGAGCAAGGCAGGCTGCTGCGAGAGGAGAAACTGCGGCGCGCCAGGCAGGACGCCGCTCTCAAAACCAAGCGGGGAGAGCGGCCGCGCTGGGAGGGCGAGGAGCGGCCCCGCTCCCGGCAGAGGGAGACGGTGATGACGGAGGGTGCACAGAGCCCACCCAGCACCAGTACCACCAGTCGGCCGCAGCACACCTTCCCCCCGTACCGACCCACCAGCACCACTGAGCGGCCGCGGTACACGTTCCCACCGTACCGACCCAGTAAAGACTCGGCCACACCGCCCGGAGAGCTGCCGTTCGGGGCGCGGCTCGGCAAACGGAAGAAATACGGGGGCTGAGATAAACGAAACAATACACATGGGATCTGAGCGGCGGAGAGCCACAGATGGGTGGGTGAGTACAGCTCAGGACAGAAGACAGACAGACTGACACAGGTCAGGACAGGGAACAGGACTAGCCGACACGTGTCCGCACAGGTCGCGGATACAAGAGTGAACGTCACGGGCCAAGACAGGAGACCTAGACTAACCGTGACGGGTCAGGTCAGAGAACACCAGACCAGCCGCGAACAGAGTAAAATGTGTCCAGGGCCCAGACCGAGGTCCCACAAAGAAAGCAGTTTGGAAATGTTTTTAGTACCTGCAGTCTGCACTATATCCAGTGACACCGCTTAATCGTTTACTGATTCACTGGCGTTTCGCTATTGCTGAAATACACCACTGAAACCAATTTAAGCCCGGCGGGTGTGCGTAGTAGTATCATATCATAGTATCATATCCCATGGTAATGATAATGAAATGGTGTTGGGAGGAGCAGACAGTGCAGCTGATTAGAAGAATATGATATAAACCAGCTAATATGTCGGATTTCAGGTATATCAGAGCAGGGTAGCATATCGTGTGCCGTATGCGCTAGTGTCGTTCCAATGAATCCATCCCCTGGTACTCTGTATGTTGACACTCAGTATGAAATGTCGCTGAATTTGCGGAGCAAGTCTGGTATACGCGATCGTTCGCCAGACGACAGAATGCATCAGTAGGACCGTGTGCTTGTGCGTGTGTCGATGAGAAGCTGTTTACTCGCAGGTAGATGCAAAATCGTTTGGTGCATCAGGATTTCGTGCTTTCACTGAGACAATGTGAAATGTAGTCATGTCGCATATGCTTAATAACAAAATAAACGATCAGTAGAGAAAGACAACTGAACTGTATTTGGCTACGTTCCGAGTTCAATGGCACCACTCCGGGGTCTCTGTAAGCGTATATCGATCATCGAGCCACGGGGACAGCCGGTCGGGACCTCGCCCCACGGGAGCGGCATGAGACGCGTCAGGACAGATTGACGCACAGCTGCTATCAGCACTGAGTACAGAAATCTCACAAAGGAGCCTACTGTGAAACGGTTCACAGTACACTAACAGGTAAAAAGGGGAGTTCACAGCACACAGGTAAAAAGGGGCGGTCACCGCACACTTACTGGCAAAAGTGGCAATCAAAGCCCAGTAGTTGGTGAAAAAATGGCAGGGTCACAGCAATCCAACAGGCAAGTGGGGGATAATCACAGCACACTTTGTACATGGTCAGGTCAACGTCTGGCACTAGTTACTAGGGTTTTGGGTTCGGCTCATCACTGGTGAAGGTGAGAGTTTGATTGTTAGTTTGTTCTGTTTTTTTATGGGTACTTCCCAGTATGGCACGACCATTTCCGAGCCATGAGATGGTAGGAAAGGGAAGGACGATGCGACCACTAGCTGTGGTAACCAGTTGGTGTGCCGCCGCGGCCAAGCCCCGAGACATGGTTTGAGAGAGGCTACCCGCAATCAGCAGGATCCATTGCCGGGATCTAGCACACCTCGACCGCCTCCTAGCACACCTCGGCCGACTCCTAGCACACCCCGGCCGACTCCTAGCACACCCCGGCCGACTCCTAGCACACCCCGGCCGACTCCTAGCACACCCCGGCCGGCTCCTAGCACACCCCGGCCGGCTCCTAGCACACCTCGGCCGACTCCTAGCACACCCCGGCCGGCTCCTAGCACACCTCGGCCGACTCGGCGACGGAGCGCGCTGGACACAGCACGACAGGGCCGACTGTGGAGTCAGGCACAGCCTCTGTGGCGGAATCAGCTGGAGTCTTTACAGCGGAGTCCGAAGTAGCCTTTGAGGATGAGTCCGCTGCTGCTCTTATGGAGAAGTACGATGTAGCCTTTGCGGAAGAGTCGGCTGCTGCCTCTGTGGAGGGTGTGTCAGTTGTAGCCTCTGCGGAGGTGTCCACTGTAGTAGCCTTTGCGTTGGAATCCGATGCACCATTCGTGTCGGAGTCCGACGTAGCCTGTGCGGACGTATCCGCAGCAGTACCTGTTGTGTCGGAGTCAGGAGTCCGTACGTCAGAAACCTCTGGTGCCCGTGTCAGTCGGCTGGAGTCCGTCGTAGCGTGGGTGCCGTTCTCTGCCACAGACTCAGAGGTGACGTCTACTGTAGACTGTGTTCCACCGTTTACTGAAGGCTGAGTAACTGAACCTACTGCATACTGCGCGGCAGAGGAGGTCGCTGTCTCCAATCTAACCGCTTCAGATATCTTGGGACCTAGCCAAAGCACAGACAAAGGAATGATCAGAAACACGATTAGGCAGCTCACTCGAAAAATAGTGCCAAAAATTGCATGAGCCTGAACAAAACCGACGGATCTGATTAATACTTGCAGCTGCATCCTATGTCTGTATAAGAAAATGATCTTGAAACTTTTTGTGCCCATGCTGATCGGTATCCTACGTAGATCGGCAGTCGTAAAGCTACCCAATTAATTGTCGTTGGTGCCACATTCCATCATAAAATCGGTATTTTAAAAAGAGCTCGTTTCCAAAGATGACACAAAATCGATAGGACTGACCAGCTGCGCAGCCCTCCAGAGGACAGACCTACCCGGCCTCCATTGGGATTGACTGCCCAATCTCAGGGGACTGACCTTCCCAACTCCCCCAGCCCTTCCGGGCGGTGTGGGACTGATCCGCCCTGCTCTCAGCTAGGACTGACCCGCTCGACTCCCCAGATGGACTGACCTGCGCGGCTCTCCAGGGCGGTGTGCAGCCGCTGCAGCGTCTCCAGCCGCCGCCGCTGAGTGGCCAGCACCACATCGGATGTCTGCTTGTGCTGCGCCATCCGCAGCAGCGCCTGGTTATTGGCGGCACACTTCTGTCTCCAGCTGGCCGACTCGCCCTCTAACCAGGAGATGGTCTCCTGCATCTGAACAGGGAGGGAGGGGTCAGTTCTGCCTCCAGCCAGAAAACGGTCTCCTGCATCTGAACAGGGAAAGTAGAGCGGTGGTCAAACTGTTTATTCAACATACAGCAAGAGTAGCTTCAGGGCCCAGAGGCCAGAACAAGCTGTAGTAAAAAAATCCACAGCTTTAGCCTTAAAGTAGATCCAACGTTTATGACGTCATCATAAAAAATGCAAGCTTTTCTAAGTAACAACATTGCTGCTTTTTGACTCACCCGCGCCATTTCAGACTTGTACGAGTCGAACGTCCCGTTCGAGGAGGCCAGCTCCCGCTGAATCTTGTCGAACCGAGTCGAGTACGTTTCTAACTGGGCCCTGAGTCGCGAGTCTGCGGCCTGGAGCGCCTTGTACTGCGCTTTCTGAGCACCCACCGCCTGGGGACACGTCAGTGGGTGCTCACCAACTAGGCAAAACTCGTAAATACACAAATAAATCCACGTATTTCGATAAGCCATCGGGGTGTGAATCACCGTGTAATTTACTGTCACGTTACCGACCTCTAGGAGCTGTTGTTTCTCTTCAGTGAGTTGGCTCCGTTGGTGTTTCATTTCGAGGTGGGCTTGAGCAAGCTGAGCCACAGACTGGCGGGTCTGGACGTCACGCTGCTCCATCAGTGCCGCCGCCTCCTGGAACACGGCGTTAACACGGGTCAGTAGCGGCGCAAACAGCGGCACACACGGGTCAAGGGTCAGTGGCGGGCCGTGGCACACAGTGGTCAGTAGCGGCACACGGTGGTCAGTAGCGGCACACAGTGGTCAGTAGCGGCACACACAGCGGCACACGGTGGTCAGTAGCGGCACACACAGCGGCACACAGGGGTGGCTAGCGGCACAGGCGGGCAACGGGTCAATGCTGGCATACAAGGCCAACCGTATCAATCGGCGGTATGTAGCTTTGATATTCGTTAGATAACATAACTCACGACAAAACGTAGGCAGAACGCATAAATTACACATAAAACACACATCTCCAGAGACGCAGCATCCTGTTCAGTTTTCTGTCGCGTACCTTGTTCTTCTGCTCGTACTTCTGGCAGAGCTCGGACAGCTGACGAGCGATGCTGGCGTTCTCCTCCGTGAGCCGGGCGTTCTTCTGAGACCCGTCAGCCACGGCCCCCGCTATCTCAGAGAGCGTGCTCTGGAACTGCACCGAGGCCGTCCGGCGCTTCTCGCACTCCTCGCGTGCCCGAACCACACCCTCCTCCTGGGGAGGGAGGTGGAGGGGAGAGTCACCGGCTTCATAACGACGTGTGAAAGGGAAACAGGTTAAGTGGGTAAAACATTCCAGCACACATAGGAGGCTCCCATCACTAAGGAAGGGAACTGGGTGAAATGATGTATAAGAGTCATAGCTAGCAAACAGGAGACAAACATCAATTGTCAGATTCAATGCCTTGATGGATTTAATGCAGAGATTGTCACTCTTTACGAGCAGCCGGGTTTGGCGGCGCCCGTCAGTCCCCGTCCCGGCGCGGCGCGGCGGTACGGTGCAGTACCTTGATGGCGCGGTTTTGCGCCTGCAGCTGCCGGCAGAGCGCCTCCAGCTGACTGCGGGTGAGCACGCTGCGCGCCTGCTCCGACTGCAGCGCCGATGACTCGCGCTGCAGCTGCTCCAGACGGTGGTTCAGCTTACGGACGGATGCCTGGCGAGCAGACACACAGACAGTTAGCTGCAAGCTGACACAGGCGTGATAGCCTTAGTCGATGGTGATAGTGGCTAGGATGTAAAGGCGTACTGCCAGCAGCTACTCTGACATCAGATAATATGTCAAGCAAGTGTTTGTAAAGCTGGCAGTGATGTGTGATGAGCTGCAGCACCATCATAGCAATGCCTCCAAAACCTGTGTAGAAGAATAAACCTCTGCAAAATGATCACCTTGTGCTGTGTGCAACAGTGAGCTGTGAGCCTTGTGGTGTGCTTTAAGCTTAGCATTAAATAATTACCAGTGCAAAAGGTAAATCTTCTGTGATACTGGTGCAGGCTGGTATATATTCAGCCCCTAGCTGGCCCAACTTATTGTCTCTGCTGCCAAAGTATGCATCCTGGCACTGACCAGCAGGATGAAGACAGTGCTAGAGGGCAGTAGGCAATAGGCTACCGCCTAATGCCTTCACCTGCATGCGTTTATTGTCCTCCTGGTGTTCTGCATGCAGCCTGCAGAGCTCAGCCAGATGCTGCAGGTCTACCTCAGGGTCAGCAGAGGCTTCAAGCACCGATGGTGTCGGCATTCTTAACTGGGGACAGCAGGCGCACTGATTTGGTGAAGTCAAATCACTACTTCTACAAACAAAACCTGCTTATACAAAATTCTTATAGCCTTGGCTTAGGCATAGTTGGCAAAGATAACTTGTGTATAAGGAGTCTATCTATCAATCTGTATTATGAAAACCCTTGTACGGGCCTTGTATTTGTATTTTGTTTTGTAGGTATTGAATTAACAACCCATATTTAAACTGTATTTAGGTATTGTTACAGAGCAAGTGAAGCCTTTCGTAGATTAAAGGGACTATCCCACCTTCAAAAAAGTCCCGTTTAGGATTCGGAAATGTTACTCAGGGTATTGCAAGGCCGTATAAGAGAGGTAGAATCATCCCGCGATTTCCAATGGACCGGTCGCTAAGCATTAGCGTGACGTCACTGGTGGAGACCGGGCGGCGCCCGGCTCCAAGCTGTACGTCGGGTACATTTGGCACCGTATAGTTGTTATTACTGAACGACGAACGTAGCGACAACTAATGACTCTTGATAACTTTTTTACTCACCTAAAGCTGATTTCCTTGCCGGTAGGTACATTGTCGACCCGAGCCCCAGGGTTGACAATCATGGGATATGGCTCGGATGGGCGACCTCGCGACGGGAGGAGGAACGATTGCAATTGTTATGTTCCGCACCGCCGATTGCATTCTCTGTCTGCACCCGGGGGAGGGGAAGCAGGGGGCACGTGCCCCCAACGGATCAGGGGCCTCTCGGGCCAGAGGGGCCTTGCGACGCCAATTGGCGGCTGAGGGTCCACGCTGGCATCTTTCGACTCAGAAGGGCCCCACAGGGCTCGGAAGAACACCTTATGTGCTCCGAAGAGCCGCACTTCTCTCCATAAGAGCCCCACACCGGCTTTTTAGTGTCCCTTGTCGGTCTTTGAGGGCCCCTTGACGGCTTCTCAGGGCCTATTGGCGACCTCTGAGGGCTACTTGCGGGCCTCTGAGGGCCCTTACCGGCCTATCAAGGACCAGCAGCTCTAAGGGTTCCACACACGCCTGCGATGACCCCCTAAACCAATGGTTGAACGCCCCCCCCCCCCGAGTTGCTGGGGGGGGGGGCGTTAAACGCACCCACTTTTTTCGCCGGGTCATAGCATAAAAACGGCGCGCCGCAGGCACGCCAAATTTTGGGTACCTGTAGGAAATTAATTGAAGTTTATTGTGACAATGTTTCAAAAAAATCAGTCGGAGAATTTTTGAGATATCGAGGTTTTAGTGACGTCATGATTTCTGAGTTTTCGACCAAAAACGGCATATGTTCAGAAAATCATATAAAATCACAGAACAGACATACAGACATGCCGTAAACGCCATTAGACTGCCAATACCATGATAAATCAAATGGCTATCTTCGATTTTTGATTATCTTTCAGTATTTTCCATAATCTTGAACTGAATCTTGGCATTTTTTCGTGACTATCTTCGCGACCATGATACATGAATTTCTTAAATTGAACTTTTTGAGCCAAACACGTACACATATGATAAAATGAATGTCACCATCGTGTTCTACGCCCCAAATTACCTATAAAACATGTGTCACAGGCTGCGAATATCAGTTTTGATTTTCGGGGATATGTGCCTACCCGGTTGACCTGACCTTGACCCTGACCTATGCTTGACTGACCCCTACTACATGGAGCTGACACTCTTGTAGGCCTTATAAGATGGATTGTGCACCGTTTTCACAGAGTTTATGGCGAGAGGCGCCCATTGCGAAGTCCTGAATTCCATGCTACTGAAAGCCCGATTTCAGGTGTTTGACCTGACCTTGACCCGACCTGTGACCTCAAAATTCAACTTTAAAGTACTCATCTGAAGCGTCTCGTCGCGCTCTTTCGTTTGCCGCCTCGTGCGTTTCGCTGCGCCCATTGGTTCTCGAGTTATCGGCTGGGGGCGTTTAACGCCCCCCCCCCCCCAGCAAACGGTGGGTGGCGAAATACCCCAGCAACTGCCGGGTTAAGGCCATATATCGGCGGCTCTGGGGGCTCAACGCCGGAGCCGCATCGGACGGCCACTCACCGGTGACTTTTGAGGGCCCCACACCGACGACTCTGAGGGCCCCACTGGCGTCTGAGTGTACCTTGCTGGTCTCTAAGGACTCCACAGGGCTCCCGAAGGCACCGCAGACCTCAGTTGAGAGCCCCTTGTCGGTCTCTGAGAGCCCCTGTCGGCCTGTAAAGGGTTCGAGCCAGCAGCTCTAAGGGTCCCACACCCGACTGTGACAACCCCACACTGAGGTGTCTCTTAGGGCCCACAACGGCAACTGTGAGGACCCTCAACGGCGCCTCTGAGGGCCCACAGCTGCACCTCTGGGGGCCCCGCACCAATGCCTCTGAGTCTCTGAGAGCATCACACCGGTACCTGTGAGGGCCCACACCAGTGCCTCCAAAGGCTTCATACCTGTGAGGTGCCTGTACCTGTGAGGGCCCACACCAGTGCCTCCAAAGGCTTCATAACCGGCGGCCCTGAGGGCCCTATACGGGTGATTTTGAGGGGCCTACCGAAGGCAGCACACAATCCCTTAGTCTCGCTGAGCTTCTATCCCAATCCCATACCGGCTTCTATCCCAATTCCGGCTCAACTAATTATCAGCCCCCCCCATGGCTCAGCAGCGCCGCGCCGGTGCCGGTGCCAGCGCCATCGGGGCGGCAGTCGGCCACGCGCACTCAGTGGTTAGCGCTTAGCACCGGCGGCTAGCGCACGCCCGGTGTGTTATCGGCCGTGAGCCGCTCTAAAACGGCTGCAGTAACTGTTCGATACAGGTAGTAAGCGAACTATCGGCCGATATCGCCTCTGGCGGCAGGCCAGGCATATCATAAAAGGCAAAAAGATGCAGAGATGCAGGTGGATTGATGACCGGCAAGCTTTTGTGTTTTACGAGGGTGAAGGGTCGAAGTCGGCTGCTAAGTGGTGAGCGGATTTTATCAGATGCCGGTTCACTATGGCCTTTGTCCGGGTCCTGGTGCCCTGACGCACTCTTGGAGAGCCGAATCACAGCAAAACTCCATCCACGACTGTATCTATACGGCTTACGCTTTTCTGAAAACGTCTGCGTTTGGCCTTCTACGGCCCGCGGCCAGCCGGCCGGTCGACCCCGAATGGCGGTCCACCAGTGACGTCACCGGTAGTGTTAAGCTGATTGGCGAATAATGCATGGGAAGAACCGGGAAGACATCCCCCTGGGGTATTGTGACGAATTCTGCAAGTTATTACGCATTTTCACACTATACTTTTTAAGATATTTCGACTTTTATATTTCATCGTGACGTCATTTAGATCGGATCTGTGACGTCATGAAGGATTTACTTCATGCCAATGAGGGGGGAAATTTGGCAGCAAATGTATTTGCTTTCAAATATGACGCGGCTCATACAATAACAAAAGTGTCTCTGATTTGGCATTTTGTAGTTGGCAATATGATACCTTACTGATGCCTAGTCAATGTAAGTTTGTTGGACTTCCTGCACATAGAATTCAGATACTAACACCACAATTCACATAGGAAAGGAGCATATTTTCACCATTACTTTTAACATGTTTGTGTCAATTTTAGATGGGTACAAAGTGAACAAGTCTGAAATCTGGATGAAAATAACAAACAATCTTTCCTGAACTAACCTTACCTACTTTCCTAAAATGTTTGTAATACTAACCTAAAGCCTCCATGCCAGATGCCTATTCAACCTACAAACCTTTCAACCAGCGTACTACATAACACCTCACAAGCTATTCCATTCCAAACCTATTGATTAGGATCTTTGGTATGCTTTTACTCATTTCATCTTAGCTTGCTATCATGCAGGTATCTAAAGAAATGTTTTGTTTTTCCTTCTTAGCTGTTGAAATTTCTTAAAAGCCAACAAAACACACCATGCAGTAAGCACATGACAGAGGTCTCTGTCACTGCATGAGGAAACTCGCAATGCTGCTTGCAGGCTGTTGACAGAAAGTGATCAGTAAGTTATGACTTTTGCATACTACTATATTTTTTTTTTGTATACAAGGAGTTTGTCAGAGATTGAACATGTCTCAGCATCATATTTGAATACTGATACTGTCAACACGAGTGTTCAACCAGCTCGTGTCAGGGACGGGAACCAGGACACCCAGGATGACAACCCCCCGGCCCCTGCTGCCCCGCCCTCTGATGACCACCCTAACAACTCCAACAACAATGATGTCCCTGACCCTGAGTCAAACGTGTAGCTTTGACTACCAGTTCCTACAGCCGCAGCACATTCGTCCTTAACATAAGTCAGTCTAATGTGAACTCGCTAGTCCGTAAGCTGCCGGTGGTGCAAGATTTTATACTGTGTCACAGTGTCCATATCATGTGTATAACGGAATCTCATCTCCTCAGCTCTATGGCAGATTCATTTATCGACATTCCTGGCTTCAGAGTGGTCAGAAAAGATACTGAAGGCTCTTTTGCCAAGCACGGTGTTTGTATCTATGTTAAAAATTGCTTGAAGTTCGAACAAATTGAAACTGATTGTCCTAACACTGTTGCCATTGTATTGCCAGAGTTCAGTGTACATATTGTTGCAGTCTACCGCCCCCCGTCGTCCGAGCCTGAAGCCAATCAGCATCTCTTGGATTTTCTCATTTCTTTTTGTGCAGACCGTGAAGTCGTGCTCATGGGGGACTTCAATCTCCCGTCCCTCGCGTGGGATTCCAGCAGCCCCTCATCTCGCGCGTCAGGCTGTGACACTGATTTCTATGACACCTTCATGTCGCTTGGATTAACTCAATGGATCTACGTCCCCACTTACCCCCGCTCTGGAAGCACACTCGATCTTGTGCTTACAACTGAAACTGACAGGATGGGTACTTCCTCGGTACTTCCGCCCCTGCCGGGCTGCGATCACTGCCCGGTGCTTTGTAACTATGTGTTTGACTATTCACCCCCAACGTCCCAATCTAGCACTCAGTTCAGGAAGTGGCACAGGGCGAAATTTGATCGCATCTCCCGCGAACTGAACGTTATTGACTGGAGTGCTGAATTTACAGGCTGCGATGTCAACCAGATGTACACCCGCTTCCTGGACAGACTGTCGCCTCTTATCGACGATTTTGTCCCTACAGGAACTTCCTCTGCTGACAACACCCGTCCTCCATGGAGGACAAACCCCCCTGGCAGCCTCAGACACCGGAGGAGACACGCATGGGAGACGTACAAAAAGATGAGATTTACCCATGGCAGGCGATCTGCAGCGGCCATATCAGCACTCGATAC